GCCCACCTGGGTAAAACTTGGTTTAGATTACGAGGTTTGGCGTGATTGAGTTGCCAGGGGTACTTGCATGAACTGTGGCAACTATGGCCACACGTCTAGGACATGCCGAGGCAAAAAGGTCACTACGAAGGTGGCATCACCAACTGTGATAGGCTTATCTTCGAACCCTGGCAGTGCTTCTGCGAGCACTTCGCAGGGAAACACCTCGGGCCAGTAGGAGTTTTAGCCACTCTTACTCGTGCTGAAGTGGTTACGTTGCCTTCTCCACTTCAGGCGTTGGCCAAGGCTAGCGGCCCACACATCGCCCCGCAGACACATTCAAACCCACCGATGCTCTGTTCGAAAGATGTGTCTGAGTCCCTAGAAGAGTTACAATCTGAGTGGTCAGGGAAGGACCGCAGAGATTCTTGGGCGATGATCAGTAGAGGTCCAAAGGGTGAACATTTCATGGTAGAGGTTGATGTAGGTGGCCGCAAAGTTGGCGCCTTTGCAGACATAGGCTCTACGCGGAACTTCATCAGTTGTGCTTGTGTGGATAAACTGCGCTTAGGGGACCAAGTGCAGTGGCGTAGCAGAACTGTAGCTTCTACGCTGGCCAACAAGCACCAAATGTTGGTAAAAGACTATGTCAAGGACGTAGTCTGTACCTTCTCCTATGGAGGAGGGGAAGTGAGCCATAAAATCTCCTTCCTGGTTGACGACGAACTGCCCTTTGACATGCTCCTAGGTATGTACTACCTCGAGGTTGCGCAACCGCAGTTTGACTGGGATAGAAAGGTGTACAAATTGCCCAATTGTAGATCTGTTAGATTGCAAAAGTTTAAAGCTAGCAGTCTGATAGAAAACTACGGGTGCATGCGTGCATCATCTTTCTATAACTATTATAAGCAGAATCGCGAGGAGGGCATGTATCTAGTCTTTGTCTCTGAAAAAGGGGAGGCCGTTAAAACACCCCAGAGATAGACTCAGTCGTCGCACAATATTCCGACCTTTTTGAGGAGCCCACAGACGTGGTAGAAAGGGAGGGTTGTCCACGCAATAGAGGTTGTCCCAGGTAGTAAGGTGCCTAGAGGACGAATCTATAGGATGTCTCCTGCGGAGTTGGATGAGCTCCGCCGCCAGCTCAAGGAGCTCACAGAGAAAGGATGGATTCGGCCTAGTACCTCCCCTTACGACGCTCCAGTCTTATTCGTACCAAAGAAGGGAGGTACCGTGAGGATGTGCATTGATTATAGGGGTCTCAATGCCATCACTGTTAAAAACGCAGAGCCCCTACCCCGCATTGACAACCTACTGGATAGAGTGCAGGGATGCCGGTACTTTACTAAGATAGATCTAAAGTTCGGATACCATCAAATTGCTATTAGACCTGAGGATCAACACAAAACCGCATTTCATACCAGGTACGGTTTGTACGAGTTTGTGGTGATGCCCTTCGGCCTATGCAATGCTCCTGGGACATTCCAGCACACAATGAACATGATCTTTCATTTTTACTTAGATAAGTTTATCGTCGTGTACCTCGACGATATCCTCGTCTTTAGTAAGACTGTAGAGGAGCACGCTGAGCACTTGAGAATAGTGCTAGGTCTCCTAAGACAACACCAGTACAAGGTTAACTTAGAGAAATGCGAGTTTGGTCGCACCAAGATCTTGTACTTGGATCATGAAATTTCAGCAGATGGGTTGAGGCCAGACGATGCAAAGGTGGCCAACATTCGTGACTGGCCCAGACCTCAGACTGTTACTGAGGTCAGATCGTTTTTGGGGATGTCGGGCTATTATCGTCCGTTTGTGAAGAACTATAGTACTACAACTTCCCCATTAACAAATCTAACTCGACTTGACACCCCTTGGGAATGGACAAAAGAGTGTGAGGCAGCCTTCAAGAAATTGAAGTATGCTCTAACACACTATGAAGTCCTCAAGCTCCCGGATCCTGATCAGCCCTTTGTGGTGACCACAGACGTCAACCAATATGGCATAGGCGTGGTCCTTGCGCAAAAGGAGGGGAAAAAGTTGAGACCTATCGAGTATATGAGTAAAAAGATGTCATCTCAGAAACTAGCCAGGTCCACTTATGAGCGTGAGCTTTATGCCCTGTATAGAGCGCTGGTACATTGGAGACACTATCTCCATGGCAGATTCTTCTATGTGAGATCTGACCATGAGACCTTGCGCTGGATTAAGACACAATCGGTACTCTCTGACGCACTCAAGTGATGGATTCAAGTGATAGACATGTATGACTCTCAACTTGATCCAATCAAGGGAGAGTACAATAAGGTAGTTGATGCATTGTCACGTCGGGCAGATTACCTGGGCGCACTAGTAACTGAATTTGACATATCTAACGACTTAACTTGATCGTTGGTGGAAGCCTATCAACAAGATCCAGTTATGTCTGAGATCATCCATAGATTCCAAGCAAAGGACAAAAAGACTTTGGACGAATTTACGATGGTAGACAACTTGCTGTTTCTTGAGAAGGCAGGGAATAAAAGATTGTCTGTTCCTGATAGTGAGTCTTTACGTAGTTTATTTTTAGGAGAATGTCATGATGCAACTGGTCATTTTGGCTATAGAAAGGCATCAGCGAACTTAGTACAAAGATTTTGGTGACCCTCTATGATGCAAGATGCTAAGAGATACGTTGAAACCTGCCAGGTTTGCCAAAGGGACAAACCCAGGACTCAGGCTCCGCTTGGGTTGATTAAGCCTTTGCCGATTCCTGAAGGACCGGGTCAGAGTGCGTCCATGGATTTCAAGGATACTCTTGTGACCAGTAGGTCTGGGAAAAAACACATCTTTGTTATAGTGGATCGCTTTTCTAAGTATGCCAGACTAATCACTATGCCAGAAAATGCTAAAACTGACTACGTCATCCAACTCTTTATGGATAACTGGGTACGTGACTTCGGTTTGCCCACATCTATTGTTAGTGACATAGATGAGAGATTCACCAGTGAACTGTGGCAATCAACTGCTGAAAAGATGGGTACCAAGCTCTAAATGACGTCAGGGAATCACCCTGAGTCAAACGGCCAGGCAGAACAGATGAATCGGGTAGTACAACACCTGCTTCGGCATTATATTAAGCCAAGTCAGGATGACTGGGATGAGAAGTTACCTCTCGTCGCCAGCCTGTATAACAATGTTGTGCACAGTACTACTGGTATGACTCCCAACTAACTACACCTTGGTTGGAAACCCAAAACTGCACTTGACTTTCCTCTACCAGAAAGAGAACCCACTACAGCACCTGGCAGCATAGAGTTTGTTGTCAAATATGAACAGATGCTGCAGCAAGCCGTTGAACATATCAGTAAATCTCAGGATGCAATGATCGCATCTGAGAATAAGCACAGACGGCCACTTTCAGGTAGGTGATAGAGTCTGGGTTAAGTCATCTGAACTAGGTCAGGAGTTGGCATTTCACGTAAACTAATGCCACAGTACTTTGGGCCCTGGGAGATCTTTGACATTGTAGGGGATCAACCGGATGGGCCTTCATATGTGATTCGCATCCCTCCACACTTGTGCACTTACCCTGTTTTCCATGCATCGAAGCTGGCACCTTCCGCTGCCACTGATCAGTTTCCCTCAAGGAGATCAATCCTGCCCCCAACCATGGATGGCGAAGTGGATATGGACCAGATCATGGAGCATCAAGTGATGCCAGTACCTCGACCATCAGGCAGAGGCCGCCCTCCTAAACCAAGAATGCAGTATCGTGTGAGATTCAGACATCATCTGGATCCTAAAGAAGATCGCTGGTTCACACGAGAGGAACTCATGAGAACAACAGCTCAAGTGATTGCAGGCTACGAAAGAGAACTCAAATGGAAGATGCCTGCAGAGTGACAGACTTCTCAGAGGACTAACGAAGTAAAGGAGGAGGGAATGTGAGGATCTGGGTCCTCGGCAGGCCTGAGGGGCCCCTGTTGCAAGAGCGCCCGCCCTAAGTGAAGGCGGGCCTAACAAATCACGAGAGGCCCTTGGTTGTCAATTTCGCATTTGGGGGTCCAGGTAGTTTCGTCGTGGCAGTTGGTTGAAGGGAAACACAGGCCGAGCAGCGTGGAAATTCCCAGGCCTTTCAGGCCTTTCCAAAAGCTCAGGCCCTGGGCCAGATTCGCAGCCTCATACACAGACAGTTGGGACGCCCAACCGAATGAGGCCCAGTAGCTGCACCAGAGGCGCAGCATTCTGGGGCCTACGGGAAGCTTCTGGGCCCAGGCCAGTCCAGCCAGGCTGCCAAACGAGGCAGGCTCTTTCCATATAGGAAAGAGCTCGCTGCCTGGCCAGGGCAGTCGGGCACTTGCTGGCTGGCGGCAGCGCTGCTGGAGCGATAGCTCGCGTGCTGGCTGCTGGCATTGGAGCAAGAGGCTGCTCACGTGCGGTCGTGTGGTGAAGCAGGGCGCTGCTGAGGGCAGCGCCATAGCCCAGCCTCCATAGCTGGCTGTGGGCTTGGACATACAGTGAGGCGCAGGGGAGGTCTTCGGGTGTACAACAAAGGGAGACGTGGGAGAGAGTCAAGGGGGAGAGAGAAGGATGATGATGATGATGATGATGTGAGGGCACATACCTGGTATTGGCGATGGTTCTGCATGGGCAACATCTTCAAGTACTTCGGGTGCTGCTGACGTCAACAGTTGCATTGTCAATTCGTAGGCTACTAGTAGCTGTGTAGGGAGTAGGCTGGGCACCGAGCGCCAGGTAGGGAGATAGAGACTGGATACATATGTTGGTGGTGGCGAGAGCAAGCTCTCATTGACATTGACTTTCAGTGCTACGATTCTCCATTGGTGGTATATTGGTGCACTGCTGCTTCCTGAACACTGTGTTACGATTTGACTTTCAATGTGATTGTGCAATCTGAATATTGTCATCTCGCTTCTGTTCATTTTCCGTTCCCACCAATTGGTTTCTCTGCAGTGCCCTGTGATTGCTGTGGCATCAACCTGAATGAATGTTTGAAAATGTGTGGGTTGGAAATGCAGGAGACCAAGGCAGCTATTGAAGCAGAAAAAGAGAAGCGGGCAGCCGCGGAGGGAAAGTGTAAGGAAATGGAGCAGGATATGGTGGTTATGCGTGAAACAATTGAACGTTACAAGGTCTTGAACAAAGGGACAGAACAAGAAATCAAGGGTATGCCCCCTATCCTTTATTCTGACTGATCACCAGTCCCTCCGAGCGTTTTTTTTTTGTAACCAATAGTCCCTCTGAGCCTCTTTTTCCTGACCTGGATTTTGGCTGTGCGGTTTGACCCGAAAAAGAATGCAACGGCGTTGGCACCAGCCTTTTCCTTCTGGTAGGCCGAGCCCCTGCTAACACAGCAGGTTAACCCTCTTGTCGGAGCAAAGTAGCTGGAAAGGTCGTTTAATGACCATTACTGTGGTATTACATGGATTACCTGAAACAAGGGGCAGAATAAGGAGGGGGAGAAGAAGGATAAGGAAAAGGAAGATGAAAATAATCATGACAAGCGCGAACGTAGGGCCAAATAGCCTTGAATTGGCGTTGCCTCTCTATCCATTTCACCTTTTGTGAATGGTATGTCAGTGCAGCATCATTATGTTCTGTCGAGGTGCTCAATCCCACGTCGGTTGTTATTTCCTGGTGTTAGGATGTGTTAGGTTGTGTTAGGTTGTGTTAGGATGTGTTAGGGCGTTTTAGATTGTGTTAGGTTAAGTATGGTTAGGTTACGTTAGATTGGGTTAGTTTTTGTTGAGCTGAATCGTGTTAGGTTGTTGCTTTTATAGGTTGTAGGTTGCGTTAAGTTGTGGTTGGTTGTGTTGCGCCAGGAAGGTCAGTGGAATGTGTTCCTAGCACAACTGGAGGCTACTTGAGGGGACACAAAATATGGGTGGGTTTATGAGAGGCTGTTGATGCTTGAGAGTGTGCTTGAGTTTGCCAGAGCGATGCCAGTGCAAGGGGGAGTAGTCAATTGGTGCACTCCTTTCATCCATTTCAGTCTTTCTAAATGGTGCACTGGGTTGCAATAGCATGTTACCGATTATGCGATTGCGTGATTGCAGACACAGGTTGGATTCGTTGTGCCCCAGGGAAAGAAAGGAAAAGAAAAAGAAGAAATGGTACAAGATGGGCATCCGGATCCGGATTACATTGCACAGTCACAGTGGTGCATTCCCCCAAAAACATAGTAGGGTGGTAATACATAGTCTGCCTCATCCTTTCTAAATAATCAGGCTGTCTTATCTACCAACCCTTACAACAATGGGTAATGCAAAGCTCATTCAAAACACAAGCGCGTGCCTACTATGTGTGGCCGAAAGGACATACTGCTACTGCTACTGGTATTTCTCACAGCACGGATGCTAGAAATGCACCGAACAGAACTGTGAAATCCGAAGTGTGTGGTCATCTTAATTACACCAGCATCTTCTCTTGCTGTTGCAGTTTTCAGGGCAGAATGGCCTGCATGCATGACGAACTCCGCACTCTGGAATAATTGAGACTTTGTAACGGACTTTCTTTTGTTTTTTAAATGATCTTATGGGCAAAAAATCCCAAGGTCTTATTCCAGAATACCCTTTGAAAGAGTTGTTGAGAATTATTGCGTCATGTTTTGTTGCTTGCGCATTCTGTTTTTGGAGATTGGTCTTATTAGACCACCTGCACTTCTGGGCCTTCCCTGCCGAACTGGCAGCCCTGGTCAGTCATGGGGACCTTGTTGCCCAAAAGTGCAGCCTGTTGATGAAAGTGAACTTTCTTGCCCATGGGTACTTTTGTATTACTGCGGACTTCTTGCACAGCTCCAATGAAATGGAAGTTAAAGAGCATGAATCATGCATAACACTTACTGCCGCACCTTCATTCTGTGCGCGTGTGTTCTCATGTTCGCTATACCCAACTGCACGAAAAATGCATGACTATGCCAGACTGTTTCGTCGGACTTTCATCGACTATGTGTAGTGTGTGAATGTGTGTGTGTTTGTGTGTGTGTGTGTGTGTGTGTGTGTGTGTGTGTGTGTGAGTGAGTGT